TGGTTTTCTTTTCCCTGGCTCACTCTAATTTATACAACCCAGGTTCACCTGCTCAGGAATGGCACTGCCCACAGTGGGCTAGGCCCTCTGATGTCAACCAGCAATCAAGAAAATGCCCCACAGACATGTCCACAGGCCAAGCTGATAGAAGTGCTCCCTCCACTGAGAGTCCCTCTTCCCAGGTTTCTCTAGTTTGTGCCAAGTTGATAAAAACTAGCCAGCACAGATGCTCAAATTTTACAGGTAGAAAACAAAGTAATTACAATCTGTTTGTGATAAACTATTACAGCAGCCACAGAAAAATACTCAAGGTCTCACAATGTGGGAGACAGGCTTGAGCCTAAGGTGAATCTTAATGACAGCCATACAGCAGGCCAGAGGCAATGGCCTGACCACTGGAGCCACAAGGAATGCCTTGTGACATCTGCTTCCATTGGCAGATCATGAGATTGATGCCTAGAGCTCGCCACTCCCTAATCACCACCTGTGGAATCCAAAATTGCAACACTTAGATATTGCAACAGTCAGGGTCACGTGGTTTCCAGGAATCCAGGCTCTGTAATCTGAAACCCAGTACGCTAATGAGGCATCCTACCTGCTATTCTGTGATAGGCTAATAAGGTATCCTACTTGCTGTGCTGTGGTTGGACCACTACCCCTATATAAGCTTGTGCCTTCCTGAAATAAAGCAGATCTGTGTCACTGAACCTGGTCTCCCAAGCAGAATAGCGGCCTCAGCCCAGGACAGGCAGAAGAACAGCCTCAGCCCAGGGTGAGTGGAGGAGCAGCCTCAATGCCCGTGAGGTAGAAGGAGCGGCACCCATGAGAATGGAGGAGCGGCCACTGCTGGTGGTGACCACATCACAAGACTTTTAAAAAATTAAATCAAGTAAGATTCATATTAAAATCAAATGTTGAACATACTTTAAGGAATATTCACAAAACACACATAGACACACACTTGTAAGGCAAACACTTGTGTACATATGAATCTGTTTAAGAAACAGAAATGGCCATGGCCTGTGAGTCCCCCTTGTGTCTCTCAAGAGCTTCTTACACCATTTTCTTTCCTTTAGAGGTAAACACTATCTTAAATTCTGTGTATACTTCTCTACTTTATATTTTTAAAGACAGGCATGCATCACGGTGCTCATTTTTCCTTCTGTTTGACTTTAAATTTTGTAATTGGAATCCTATATGTCTATTCTTTGACTTTTTAATATACCCAAATGAATTAAAAAATAGCTACACATCATTCATATTTACTACTGTGGTGTTAACGATATGCAGAAGTATAATATGAAGATGTTATAAAGGCATCCCACAACTTACTTGCCTATTCTTTAAGCAATAGACATAGGCTGGATCCAGCTTTCAGCCTGAGAAAAACAAATGCTGCTGTGAATTCTCTGGAGCATGCTTCCTGATGCATGGATGTGAGAATTCACTAAGACACCCCACCCCCTGTAAAACTGTAAAGACAAGGAGGTGAGTACATTCTCCATTACCAAGTGTATTCTATTCCTCAGTGTAGTATGACTGTTTAAGGTTTATTCTCAAGTAGCCAGTTTCTTCCTTTCTTAATCTCCTAGTACTTACTACTTCTATAACTTGCTCAACAATCATATCTTGCTTTGTAAAAATCTCATCTATATCTCTTTTCATATGGTTAACTCTTGGATTCTTCCTTATCTTCCCATAGGCTCATGTTTAGAACTAGATATGTATTCAGTCTGGGAAGAGACTACATGTTCTTAGTAGACTTAAAGATTAAATGCAGAGGCATTAAGCACACAGAATCTGGAGCCAAAATGTCTGAGTTCAAAACAAATTTCCACTTGCCAGACATGGAAACTTAAGCTGGTTGATAATGTCTGTGAATCTTAGCTACACCAAATGTAATTAGGGGAAAACAATACTACCCCAAAGGGCTATTGTGGGAATGGATAAGTTAATGTGTGAAACACTGCACTAAAATATGTAGAATATAAGTAGTCATTATGTAGTTCATGCTGCTGTTCTACATAAAAGCACACATAAAAAGCTAAACATGGGGCTGAAGAGACAGCTGTCACACACACATGCACACAAGATGGTGAGGGAGAGGGAGGAGAGGAAGTTTTCTACAACTAAACTCATTCCCATTTGGCCCCCATTCTGTCCCACTCTGGGAATGGCTGTGTCAAGGTCATCAGTGAATCCCAAGCCACTGAATTATACAGTCACTTATATGTCTGCTCTTAATGGGCCTCTTGGTAGTTAGGACACAAGGGATCATTCATTTGCTTCTCAAAATCCTTTCCTAGGCTTCCCTTATACAAGATCCCCTGATATCCATACCCACACCCACACATTGGTTTGTCCCTTGCACAGGTTGTCTCTGCTTTCTTCACTCAGTGTTTTCTCCCCTTCATTCTGTCCATTCTTGGGGCTTTGAAACCTTTATAATACTGGTGATTTTCAAAATTCCAGCCCTGACTTCACAGAGCCCAAGATTTCTACATCCAGCTGCTTGCTGGCTATCACCTGAATGTCTCATAACAATGATGATGACTGAGAGACAGGCACAGGCTTCCTTTTTCTCAGCCACCCACCCAAGCTTTATATGTTGGAACCATCTTCCCACTGGCTATTCCCTCTGGCCTAAAGCATTCTCCATAAATAGCTACATTTCTGATTCCCTAGTCTTTTGGATCTTTGCTCCAACATTACCTTCTCAGACAGGTGTCCTGGCCACTCCCTGTAAGGAAGTCCCTGACCTGAACCCAGCTCTGGCTTCCAGTATTCTGTTTTCAAAGCAAAAACATGAGTCAAGATATACCAGAAACAAAGCCTTCACTTTATTCTATGGAAAGGAGGAAAACACATCTTGTAAGTGACGTGTTTAGAGTGCTTGAGAACACAAGCAACAGCATCTTCTCAGTGCTAGTCCTTCAAAGGTGAGAGGGACAGAGTGGTGAACGGGACAAAAAGCACCCTTTAAAGTCTGGTACACAGTGTACTTAATAATCCATTGACTGATTTTCTTCCACAGAAATTACATCTTCATGAATGGAAGATAAAAAAATAGTCTTACAAATGTCTATTGCATTTTTAATTTTAGAGGAACTTTACATTTATCAATAACTATAATGGATGTAGAAGTATGAAAGTCTTCAATAAGTCAGGACATGCAGAGGCCACAGACACATGCCCCTGCAGAGCATCACTCATAACCTGGTATGCTACTATGTTTCCAAGCATTCTATAAGGGTTATTTTTGTGTCTCAATTTCTGATTTATCTCTAAGATGTCAAAATCCTACATAGTCAGTCAATGTGCTACATCATCAGAAATGGCTTAAAAGTAGAAACGACCTTCTAGGCATTCTACACATAAACCCTTGGTGTTAAATCCCTAGGATAAAAATATTCCCTGGGAAAGAAAAATCCTTACTTAAAGGGCAGAGGAAGGATAAGGAGGACATTATCTGCCCTGCAACATTCAGGCTTAAAACTGAGTTCTTTAGATATCAGTTCTCAAATATCAGGAACAAGTCTGCAAACAGTATCTTTGATTTGATATATATTACAGCACAATAGCTTTGTGAGGTGCATCTTCAACTTCCATTGCTTTCTTTTAAATGTATAGCATCTTATGAATTTTTCTCTCTGAAAACTATTTACAGAGTTGTCAGTATTCCCCGATTTCATTCTCTGCACACTCCTCCCCACTCCCACTCTATCTCCACTAACAGATAAAACTTAGGAGAAATCAGAAGGGTAGGCAAAGATGTTTTATTCTTGGTTAGGTTTCCATAGTTCCATAAAGAAAACATATTTCACCAAACATCTAGAAGGAGCAGGGAAGGATACTCAGTATCAGCAGAAGGCACGGATCACAGAAGAGAGCTTGACATGGGTCTTCATATTTAGACACTGGCTTCCATCCTGGCAAATGAAACGCTGTTCTCTGGTAAGATGTTATGGGCAGAGGCAGGAGGAACTGAAGACTCTCCTGCTCTGGTGTAGCAGCCAGGTCCCCCAGGAGTATTATTGCAGAGGACAAGAAAGTGAATACCATGGTAGCAATGGCCATAACCCCTGCTATGGTAACGGAAATGATGCTGAAGCCATCAGTACAATGTGCTTCTCAGCCACTTGTTGGATGAGCCACAAAATCCATTTTCACAAACTGAAAAAAAAGCGCACTCTGCCATAGCATGGCAATACTGGCTGCATTCTATCCCTGTCACGTATCAGTCCAGGGACTTGCTATTTTGGAAAAAATGTTAAATACTATCACGTTAGTTTGGAAATGAGTCAAAGCAAAGTTACATGAAAAATATATTGTTAAACAAATAAGCATACAGATACTCTGGGTTGTATGGCTTTAAAAGCCTTATAGGCAGAGCTAATGAATTGCAGTTATTTTTTTTTAAAGAGAAAGCATTATACTATACCAAAAACTTAAGACCTTGAAATCAATTCATATGCAAGTATCTTTACAAAACAGAATCATCTAATTTAGAACATTAACATATAATACTTTCTATACATTAACATTGAATGTGCTATGTTACTATATATTAAAAAATATGATTTGAAAACTAGGGCTGCTTCAAAACACTGTGTTCAAATTTCATTCTTCAAGAGCCCAGAAGACTTGCCAAATCCCCATGCTGTCCTTCCAGTACAGTTCATGCTGCACTGGCCAGAGTGGAGGGTATCTATTCGGAGCCAGAAGAGAGGCACTAAGTAAAACTCAGTGAAAAGAAAGAGTAACACATCAGGTCCTGATACTGCTCACTTTCTGAGACTCTCGTGGGGTTTGCTGACTCGGAGAAAGCCTGTCAACACTGCTTTTAAATACCCAGCATCCTATCTCCTCAAAATAGTCTGTATATTCACTACAAGCAGCTACAAGAGAGGGTTTCAGGGAGAAATGGTACAAAGATGCATTTCAAATAGAACAAGAAGCTGGAACAGAATGTCTTTTAAGTCACTTTTTATGAGGTGCAACAGGCCAAAAAAATAGGTAAAACATAGCAACTGTGATTACATAGACTACAGGGGATTTCATATTGATGTTTCTAGGATGTGTATGACTCACCCTCAATACATTATACCTACCTAGTTCCCAGGAGCTAAATTGCATCATCTACAGTGCTGTTTAAAAGTTCATCCCATTGGCATTCCATATCAAAAGACTCAATCTTTATGTAGAATGACAGCCAGTCATAGCTTTCTATTATAGTCCCCTCCCCAACTGAGGCTCGTTATAATGAAGAGAGAGAACAGGAAAGGGATTTCTGGTACCATTTATTTTTCTCTAACAGTTATAAAACTATCACACAGCTTGAAAAAAAACACACAGTAATCATCATGTTACAATAACTGTATCTGTCAAAACAAGTGAATTTTTTCCCAGAAAAAAAGGCATTTTCCTCTATGACTCCTTTACCCATCAAAAAATACTACATACATTATTTCCACGAAGGTCAGGACGCATGTACTGCTGTGGCACACCCAAGCAGCGGGAGCGCAGCTCAGAGGACAACGAGAACCTCTGCTACTGCTCCTCCCAGACTCACTCCGCTTCATAATTCTTCTCTAGGACCTCTCCCTGTCTCCCGCGTGGCTTTGTCTTTCTCACCCGGTGCCAGCCACGTGAGATACACCTTCACAGGATCAATGTTCCAGTGTTTATGGAATGATATAGGAATCTGATGAGAAAGGTAGTCCTTAGGGTAATCTACTGGCCGAGCCTGCATAAAGAACAACAGAGAATTATGATTTCCTGGTGATCAAAAATAATTGACTTGGCAAGTAAAAGTGCTTGCAGCCAAGCCTGATGACCAGAATTCCATCCCTGGAACCTACATGGTATAAGGAGAGAATCAACTCCAGCAAATTGGCATCTGACCATCACATGTGCACTGCAGCGTGCCTCGCCCCCACATAATAAACAGACGTACAAGTGTTGTTCTAGTTGTTAACTTTCGAGTTTATAGTGCAATTACTTTGCTTTAGTGTTTGATACTGACTATGGGAACCTCAAAACAAGAAGGGAAATATTTTCTACTGTCTTCCCTCTAACTCCATGCTCCATGCCTTTAATTTCTCTAGTTACTTTACCTTCTCAAATGCTTTCTGCTTCTGTGTTCTATAGTACTGCCTCTGGGAGGCTCCTTAAGCATGGTAACAAATACAGAAAGTTTTCCTTGGTAATTCCTTTAAGCTAGTGATATGTGATATATGATACCATTTCTGGAAATAAAAAGGGGGAGGGGACTGATTTCCCAAGTCTTTCTCAAGAAACTGCCATGTATGAGTTATGCAGGAGCTAAGGCAGGTGTTCCCAGGGCCTAGACCTCCTACTGCTCTACCATAACCAGGTGATGTCTTTCAAAGAAAGAAAACATAAGTTCATTGTGGAAAAGGGTAGTAGAATTCTGGACTAAACGTACAAGTAAAAAACAGTGAGCAATCCAAAACAGCCTGCAAGAGAATCTAAATACATTTTATAATCATTCAGAACTTTCTTACAACATAGAAAATGAAACATAAGCAGAATTAGATATTGCCTAAAATGATGTGATTAAGGATGTCATCTATAGTGTTAGAAGGCAAGCTAAAACCAGATATGATTTGTTTGCTTTAAGCAAAGCATCCATCTTCTCTCAATGTTCTTTTTAATTTATTTACAAATTTATATTGCCATCTGGTTTACATAGTAACTTATTGAGTTTACCAACACTAAAATTGTCTCAACTATTAAAATTGGATATAATACATTTTAAAAAGAAGACCTTCTCTAGGCAAATATTCTATTACAGTCTATTTAAATTCTTGAAATGACTACCTATATTTCTTTAAATGTTGTATAGAATTCTTTTGTTAAATGATACTAGGAAAACTAGATATCCACACTGAGAGGAATGAAATTAGACCTGTACCACCTTGCATAAAAATTAACTCCAAATGGATCAAAGACCTCAATGTGAAACCTGAAGCTCTAAAACTATTAGAAGAAAACATAGGCTGTTACCCTACAAGATAAAGAGCAGGAAAGGGCTTTGACTAAGACTTCATTTGCTTGGGAATTAGTCTCAACAACTGACAAGTGAGACCTCATAAAACCAAAAGGCTCCTGTACAGCAAAGGAAATAATCAACTGAGTGAAGAGGAAGTCCAGAGTGGGGGAGACTCTGCCAGTTATATATCTGATAGATGATTAATACACAGAATATACAAAGAACTTAAAAAACAAAGAATAAGAAAACAGTCCAATTTAAAATGAGTTATAGATCTGAAGGGAAATTTTTCAAAGAGAGAAAAATAGCTAAGAAATATCTTTAAAAAATGTTAACATTGTTAGCAATCAAGGAATGCAAATTCAAACTACTTTGAGATTTCATCTTATTCCAGTCAGAATGTGAAGATTAAGAAAACAACTGACAAAAATATGAACATGATCAAAATACATTGTATGAAAATATCAAAGAACTAGTACTTTTTTAAAAACTTAAGTATGGGGCTAGAGAGATGGCTCAGTAGTTAAGAGCAATGGCTATTCTTGCAGAGGACCCGGGTTCAGTTCCCAGCACCCACATGGTAGCTGACAACCATCCCTAACTCCATTTCCAGGGGATCCAACACCCTCTTCTGACCTCCATAATCACTGCACAACATGGGTGCATTTACATACATGCAGGCAAAACACTCATATACATTAATTTTTTTAAATTTGTGTTCATAGGGTTAAAAAAAGATGGTGAGACAGGAAAAAATACACATTAGAATATAGTCTAATTGAATTTGTAAAGTTATGAATATTAGCTCAGGGAATTCATGCATTATATATTTACTTATAAGACTCAGAATTTACTGGCGGGGAAGAAAACGAAAGCAGCATACTCTCAATTCAGTTCTCAGATAATTCCACAATGGTCCCTAAAGAAAGAAAAGCAATGAAAACAATTCCTTGCTTGTTTTTCACATGGGAAAATCAACTGCTGGAGATGCAAATGCATCTAAAGTCCCTAACTTCCCCTTGGTGAGCACAGGCTCCAGGCATGAGTGATGAGCACACCACAGTAGCTCATGTGTGCACATGAAGGCATGAGCACCAGAAAGTGCTGGCCGATTTCAATACACGAGGTCACAGAAACAAGTAAGACAGACCAGGAGAATTAAATCCACCAGAGGCATGTGCAACCCTGAGAAGTCTCTGCAGGCTTTAATAATCACATCTCTGGGTATCAGTGACCACAGGAATAGAGACACAGCTCTATGATGTCACCCACAGCAGCCTGAGGAATCTCCCTAACATTGTGCAATAGTGCCTAGCTTTAGGTTGACTCTGGGGATTCAAACTGCCTCATACTGGATTTCCCTTAATCTTTTAAGGACATTGACTCAGGGAAAAGCAGATCCTTGGCTTTGATACAGAAAAAAATTTCAGGACTAGAGTCAAGGTTTATTAAAGATATTTTAATATATATTTTAAGCACAAGTGTTAAGAGAAAGAGAGGGACTCTGGAAGAGAGCATGTGCGTAGTGGCTTCTCTAAGAGCTGTACTTCATTGTCTTTACAATAATCACGTAGAGAATTTTGGTGGGTTTTAAAACTATTATCTTCAGAGTGTTGCTAAGGAAACCAAATGAGATCACAGGTTGCTCCCAAGAGGCACCTGACAGGATTACAGTTGATAAGGTAAAATAGGCCACAGGGATGCCAAAAGGTAGAGCATTTTTACTGTAAATAGTCTCGTTTGAGACTCTTAGTGTTTGGGACAGGAATGATTCTCTACTCAAGGTCACATACATTCAGACTTTAACTTGGGTTATTGCTATTTTAATACAAAATATCTATATATGGGAGGAATGTTATCTCAGTATCAGAAACCTTCACAGCAAATGTTAGTTGTTTTGGAATTCATGTTTCTCTGTTGATGAGAGGTTTTACCTAGACTCCAGAGTGAGGAGCTCCTTTCTCTTCTCCTGTTCCCATAATTTTCCTGCCTCAGGGTCACTGGATCCCTTTATCTGTATCTCCTCCCAGTGTGGCCACATCAAGCAAACCTCCCTTCTCTGCTGTTTACTATCACTCTCTTTATTGGAATATTGGGGGCTGACTGTAGGATCCTGGACTGCTGAGCCGCCAGAGCCTGGGCTTTTACCTTAAAGACTCCTGTACCAACCTTCCCCTAAACCCAGTTTGGTCACACTGTAAATAAGTCCATTTTCCTTTACAAATTTCTGGTTTCTAATTTCTTTTAATAAAAAGAGACACTAAGCAGCAGGTTTATAAGCCGTAAATGCCCACCAACATAATTTTGGTAATCTTGGCAATTCCCTAATTTTGGTAATTTGTGTCATCTCTTTTTTTTTCCTTGGTCAAACTAACTAAAAAAACTTTTGGCTTCAATTTGCTCTACTGTTTCTCTAATTTCTAGTCCATTGATTTTTGCTTTGATCATTAACGGTTCTTTTAGTTCAGGTTTGATTTGATATTATTCTTCAGCTTCTTAATGTAGAAGCTAATTGAGCTAATTGTTGATTTAACATCTTTAGTTGCCCCCAAATTTTGATGTTGAATTTTCATTTTCATTCCATTCAAGGTATTTTCTGGTAGGGATATACAGCTCAGTGGTACAGTGCTAGCCTAATGTTGCAGTGTGAATGTGAAATGTCCCCCACAGGTTCATGTCTCTGAACACTTGGTTACCCGCTGGTGGTGCTGGTTGAGAAGGATGTAAAAGGTGGAGCTTTGCTGGAGGAAGTAGGCCACTGGGGGCAGGGCTGGAGACTTTACAGCCAGGCCCCACTTTCTATTCACTCTCTCCTTCCCGAGTGCAAGTGCAACGTGACCAGCCATGCTTCCCTGTCACGATGGACTATAATCCCTAGAGCTGTAAGCTAAAAATAAATTCTTTACCCCTTAAGTTGCTTTTGTCAGGATATTTATCACGGCAACAGGGGCAAAACTAAAACATCTAGAATGTGCAAAGTCCTGGGTTCAATTCCCAGTATTGACAGAACAAGATTCCTGTCAGAAACTTTCTAATTTTCCTTCTATTTTCTTTTCATATCCACAATAGAAGTGGGTTGTTTAATTTTCAAATATTTGGGATTCCCCCTATTTTTTTCTCTCACTCATTTTTAATTTCATTACTTTGTATAGATTCAGTTCTTTGCAATGCATTGAAATTTGTTTTATGACCTATGTACATGGTCTATCCTGGAGAATGTTCTGTACACACTTGAAAAGAATGTGTTTTCTGCTATCAGGTGAATGCTCTATGTATGTTGGGCAGGACATGAGTTGTATATTTCAGCTGCTATCAGCTGCATTATTCTTTAATTTAAAATCTTTTTATTTTTGTGAATATCATACTTGAGTATTGCCTTTGCATTATTTCCATCCCTCCCAGTCCCCCTCCACCTCCCCCCATGTCCCCCAACTCCCTCACTACTCCCTTTCAATTTCTTGTCTTCTTCATCATTGTTACATACAAACATACATAGACACAGACACACAGACACACAGACACACAGACACACAGACACACACACACACACACACACACACACACATAATGCACTGAGCTCGTTTAGTCCTATGTACCCGTGTTTTCACAAATGGTTGGAAAGGTCATAGACCCTAGAGAAGAACCAACTTCTGTCACTTCCCTAGACCAACATAATTTCTTACTATACTCTAAATTCATATCATTATATTTACAGACAAGTGTACCTCTTA